CCAGATGGCAGGCCAAGAAGACAAGGATGTGAAATCCCAACACCTATAAGATGGCTTAGAGAAATTTTAAAATAGAAAATAGAGTTCCTTATATTCTCCCTGCCAAAGGGCAAAAATTGTCTATGTTAAGGGGGATACTGAATGTGGTAATTGGGAGAATTAGGGACCTCACTGAGAGTGAGAGCAAGTGGAATGAAGGAGAGAGAAATATCACCAAATAAAACTGTGATTTGGTTTATAAGGTACTCCTAAGTGAAAATTCAACCTAGACAGGGTTTTCCTGTTATAATTTTTTGAAGTTTCGAATCCCTCTCCATCTAACAGAAAATGGCAAGTACAAAATGAAGAACAAATTTTTCTGCACCATTTGAGGGTAAGTTGCTGATCTCATGTCACATCAACTCTGAATACTTTAGCGTGTATTTCCTACCATCATGACATTCCCCCACATAACCACAACACAATCATCAAAATCAGGAAATTGACATTGATACATAACTACTGTATAATTCTCAGACCCTATTTAAGTCTTACAATTTTCTCAGTAATGTCTCTTTAGAGCAAAATTATCTTGTTCAGAATCATGTCTTTCATTTTGTTGTTGCATTTTTTTTTGTATCCTTCAATCTGAAACAGTTACTTCATCTTTTTTTGACTTTCATGAACTCAATACTTTTGAAAGTTATAGGCTAGTTATTTTGTAGGTTGTCCCTCTATTTGGGTTGGCCTGATGTTTCCTAATGAATACAGTCAAGTCATGCATCTTTGGCAGAAATATCCCAGAAACAACATTGTGTTCTCACTGTTTCCTATCAGGTGCATACAATTTTTATTTGTCCTGTTACAGATGCTATTACTTTGATTACTTGATAAAATCTTCACCACTGAAATGTTACTCTTTTTCCCCTTTGTAATTTGTAAGAATGATGGATGGATATTTTGATACTATATAAATATCCTATTCCTCATAAAATTGGTGTCATTCATTCATTCTTTTCCCCATCAAGCTTTCAACTTATTCATTCATTTATTTGTATCAGTAAGGATTTATGGTTTCCTGGTCAAGTGATTATAATTTGTAATTTTCATTATGTTTGAATTATCCCCAATTTTTTTTTTTTTTTTTTTTTTTTTTTTTTTTTTTTTTGAGACGGAGTCTCGCTTTGTCGCCCAGGCTGGAGTGCAGTGGCTGGATCTCAGCTCACTGCAAGCTCCGCCTCCCGGGTTTACACCATTCTCCTGCCTCAGCCTCCCGAGTAGCTGGGACTACAGGCGCCCACCACCTCGCCCGGCTAGTTTTTTGTATTTTTAGTAGAGACGGGGTTTCACCATATTAGCCAGGATGGTCTCGATCTCCTGACCTTGTGATCCGCCCGTCTCGGCCTCCCAAAGTGCTGGGATTACAGGCTTGAGCCACCGTGCCCGGCCGAATTATCCCCAATTTGTCCAGATTTTCTTCTCCAAGCCAGTTTCTGTATCTTTTAGATGTATCACTATTATTTTCTGAGCACTCCTTTGCTTTCTGGTATTAAAAAGGCATTCCAGACTGATTGTACACTTTTTTGCCTTGGTCCCAAAATGAACCATTTCTCCAAGGGTCCTGGTTCGATTTAGTGGTACATGGTACTTAGAAAATAGTTTCTATGTGCTCATTGCTATTGAGGTGTCACTGTTCCCAGGCCCTCTCGTTTACATTTATTTCTCTATATACATTTATATGTTTATATCTCTATATATCTATTTATTTATATCTCTGCCCCTATCTATATATACAAAATCATGAGCTCAGGCTGGCCGTGGTGGCTCATGCCTGTAATCCCAGCAGTTTGGGAGGCCAAGGTGGGTAGATCATGATGTCAGGAGATCGAGACCATCCTGGCCAACATGGTGAAACCCCATCTCCACTAAAAATACAAAAATTAGCTGGACGTGGTGATGCTTGCCTGTAATCCCAGCTACTCGGGAGGCTGAGGAAGGAGAATTGCTTGAATCAGGGAGTTGGAAGTTGCAGTGAGCCCAGATCGTGCCACTGCACTCTAGCCTGGCGACACACTGAGACTCCGTAAAATAAATAAATAAATAAATAAAATAAAACAAAATAAAAAATATTATGAGCTCATACCAACACCTCGACACCCCCAATTTCTCTTCAGCTCTATACAGGGTTAATTCTAGCTTTCTCCCTTTCCATGTTTAGAGTTTCCTTCTTTAATAGTGAGATGCCTGGTTCCCATTATCCTTGAAGTATTTGCTTATTTAACCAATCTTCATCTCTGTAATCAATTTCCAAGTAATACCAACCCCCCAGTCCTCACAAATGTCTCCTCACTCTGCTTGGGCTTTGACACCGTTTTCTGCCACCCCACATGTAGATACACTTCTCTTCCTACCCATCTCCGGTTCATAATTCCAAACCACTGCTGCCACTGGTTTGGGGTGTGGAGGTGGCAGGGCTGGTGGGAGGGCTTCTGACCCCACTCAGGAGTTTACACTATGCTCTGGACCGTGTATCCTCCGCTCCGGGTGAGGACATTTACCTTACCTAACTCTCACAAATGGTTTTAGAACTGAATTGTCCTAGAAGGGAATGAAAGAAAAGAGAAAATAAAAAGGAAGAAAACTTTTTAAATGTCCTAAAAATAAAAATGTCAGCTTTCTCATTATTGAAACATCTTATCTATTTGATATTTTTGAACCAATATAAATTTAAAAAACATATAGACCCTCTATGTTTCTAGGATTTGAGGGATGAGCATCTATTTTGGGCTTCACTTTGTAGATTTGGGGGCTTGGGTTTTGTTGATCCTTTCTGTGTTTGAGTGAGATCATGGTTTTCAAACTGTTCTCCACAGTCCCACATTCTATGGACATCTCTCAAGGGTGCACTGATAAAGTGTGGGGTGTGGGGATATTGCAGAGTCGTAATGACTTGCCTTTGTTTCTCACCCTGCTCCTACCAGAAAATTCTGTTTCTAACTGTTTTATATATCAGATTTCCACATGAGATTTCAGCCGAAAATAAAAGTTTTCAAATATTTAAAGTGTTTGAAAACCAGAGTTAGATGATCTCTCTGAGAGTGCCAGCTGGGAGTTATAAGAATTAAACTTTGAGATCCCTACTTAAGTACACATTTTTTCTTCATAAATATGAGCGATGATAATTTTCTGTCATTTAAAAATGTTTTTAGCATCCCTGTATGATTATATATATAATTATTTTAGATTATTTTCAAAATATGGAAGAATGAAAAACAATTACCTGTCCCCTTATTACAATGCCCCTGACACATCTGACAAAACCACCCTCAAGATATCAAAGTGTTTTTCTTCCAGTATTTTTATTGTGCTTTATTATTTTCATAATAATTGTAAGTATAACTTATATATAATTACCCTCAATGATCAGGTTTCTAAATATATGTTTTCTGGGATCTCAATTTAAACAAAGTATGAAGCAGTTTTCATTTATTAATTATTTTTTTCACTAAAATATGAAGCTCCTAGACTGTCCTCATTGAACTGAATTCTGGTGGGAGAAGGGACTGATCTCAAGTGTGGGAAGCATTCAAGATGCAGAGTGCTGTGGGAGCTTGTGATGGGCAGAGTGCTGTGGGAGCTTGTGATGGGCAGACTTTACTTATTCTGGGGCAGGGGCAGGAGTAGGCAAGAATCAGTGAAGACTTTCTGGTGAAAAAACATTTAAGGGGAGACATAAAGGTCAGTTAGCTGGTGAAAGGTGAGGAGCTGGGAAGGAGAAATATTTCCAAACACAGATTGCAGCCTTTGCAACATCCCTGTGGTAGGAAGAAGCAGGGTGTGGTCAAGGAGCCAAAAGAAATCCAGCATGGTGGAAGCGTGGAAAACTAAGTGGTACAAGATGATATGAGAGAGGTAGTTAGGGTGCAACTCAGCTATTATAAAGATTTGGTCTTTATCTTAAGTGGAATGGGAATCACTAAAAGGATTGAAAACAAGGAAGTCACATGATCAAATTTGAGTTTTGTAAACACATCTCTGGATGTTTTATAAAGAATGAATGTGGGTTGGTGAGAGAGGATGCATCTCAACTAGTCAGGAGGCTACTGACTAATCTATGTGATAGATGCCAATGATATGGACTAGAGTACAGTCATTTGGGTAAGGGGGTAGGGAACAAATGTCTAAGACATAGACAACTCAGAATTAGGTGACTGATTTAATGTGGGAGTGAGGGCAAGTGGAATGTGCCAACCTCCCCAAAAGGCCTTCACATAGAAGAATCTGCTGCCCAATGTTGACCACTTGCCCCTTGTGGATAGGAGGTTGGGGTCTCTCTGGGATACTGTGGTTGAGGGAATCAGCACATCTCTTTCACCCCTATGGCCACAGTGATTACTACACAGATAGGCACACCTCTCTTTGGCCCATCACACCCAACAAGTTTCAATTCTGGGACTTTTGTTTACACTATCAAGGAAGTGGACTCATTCTTTTTCATGACTTTCAAGGTTCAGAGGACTTCGGGACTAGAATTGTTGTCCAGACTTGTCACTTTTTGGTTGATACAAAAGGTAACAGCTGAAATGAGATATACTGAAAATATGACATTATTTGAAACCTGAATCAAGCTGTGTCCTTCCTCCACACATTTTATATGTAAAAGTCAAATAACTGTTTCTTATATGACCACTTTGGGATGAGTTTCCTGTAATTTGCAACTGAAAGTGTCCTCCCTGATTTGCAACTGAAATGGAATCCTCCATTTAATGTAAACTCATGTTAACAATTTAATTTTATTATAAGACTTTCTTCCGAAGATATATTTAAACAAAGTTGATATCATATTCCTATTTTGATTTGATACTCTATACTGCTCCCTTTGGGTCTTGGTTTGCATTCTTTCAGAAATAAACCATAAAAACCATAAGACAAGGATATAATTGCAAATAATTTATTTGAAAAGTTGTCCCAAGAAACACCAGCAAGGAATTAAGATAAAGAAGAGAAGGAGGTCAATAAAATGTATATTATAAGAAGATTACCATTTTATTAGCTGGAACTTAATTCAGCAGGGGAGTGTCTGGGAGACAGTGTAGAACATACCTCAGTGTCATCATAACAAAGGGGAGAAGAAGTTAATGAGTTTATTTATAACTTCTTTACCCATCATAGGTTGAAAATTGCTTGAAGGGAATTAACTCTTTGATACATTCAGTTTGCTGTACATATAGGCCAACATAGTTCCTGTGTCCAAAAAAAAAAAAAAAAAAAAATAGTGCTGGGGCAGTTGTAGGTATTTCCAGTAATCAGCCTTTAGTAAGTGGAGATGAGTGCAGAAGAAAGTGGGCAGAGCACTAATAGCATCTGTTATCCACTCCTCAGCCCCTAATAGACTCAGATATTTTATCATTCAGTTCTTATTTTCAGTACCGTACATATTGCACTTTTCTGTTATAACTGTACTTCTGACTATTTCTTACCCAGCGCACTAATTTTCAGAAATCTCCCACCTAAAAGACAGTTTCTATATTTCCCTCCAGTTATTTTGTTATTTACCATCACTGTTTCACATCAAAACTTTTCAAAAGAGTTGTATATAGTTGCAGTTTCTACTTCCTGACACCTGTTTTCTCATTAACCCAATCTATCCTTGTCACCACACTGAAACTGCTCTTATGAATCTCACTGGTAATCTTCATGATCCTAGAATAAGTGACTATTTCTCTATGTTCATCTCACTCAACCTTTCAGCATAATTCAAGAAAGATGTGACTTTCCTAAATAATGTTTCCTTCTTTTGATTTAGTAAAAATGTATTTTCCTACCTAATTGAAAGGAAACTTCTCAGTTTCCTTTAATAGCTCACTTTCTTGTGCCACCTGTGATTGTGCCAAAGTTACATCCACCTATAGATGCCCCTCAACTTAACTCATTTAATACTCTTGGTCACTTTACTGGGCTCTGGACAACATAGACAACTATTTACTCTACTTGGCATTTGGCATATCTAGCAGGCATCTTAACAAGTCCACAACAAAACTCTTATTTTTCATCAAAACCTCTTCATTCACTCATCTTTTCCATTTCAGAGAATGTCTGTTACTTCCCTAGCTGCCCAAACAAAAATTTTTCAGCCATTCCTGATTTCATTTTTCTTCACCTCCTGCATCTGACTCCATGAGCAAGTTCTTCTGTCTCCATCTCAAAAGTAAGTCCCGAATGTGCCAGTTTCTCCATGTCCATCTCTACCATCCTAATACAACACATTATTATCTTTCCCCAACCTACTTGGAATAGCTTCCTAACTGGTCTATCTCTCCATTCCTATACCCTTATAATCCACTTTTTATACAGCAAGTCAAGTGATATTTTAAAAATCATATATTGTGTTACTTCCTTCTTAGAATCATCTAATGATTTCCCATAATACTTAATAACAACAACAACAGCAGCAACACAATCTGGCTCCTCTCTACCACCCCGATTCATTCATTTCTACTGCTGTCTTCTCTGCCCTCTGTTTACTAGCCACCACACTTGTCTTCCTATTTTAGTGGTTCTTAACAGGGGCAGTACCACACCCTAGAGGTGTTTTTGTAGTTTATGGGCGCATCTTTGCATGCTATGACATTTGATAGGATTACTGAGAGTGTGTGGATCAGTAATTCCACATTTCCTGCCATGTGTAGGGCAGACCCATGAGAGGAAGCACAGTTCTGTATCCTACATGGCTTTCAAATATCCTGATAGGTATTCATGCAGGTAAAAAATTTACTTGTAATTATTTGGACCTAAAACCTAATTCCACTTTACATACAAGCAAAAAGTGTTTTTGCATAATTTTAATATACACCAACATTTCTGGGAATGCAAGTACATTGTAAATTGAGGGAAGAGTGTAATTTGTTTTGTTAGAAACTCTATCAAGAGTTGCTCACCATTTCAGAAAATCACATCACCAATGGCAACGCCATTTGCAGTATTTGAGTTGCCAATGCAACACACCTGTACCCAACTCCATTTGTAGTTGTCACATTCATGCTGATTCTAAGTATAGACACAAACATCTGACTATTTCATATGGCTTCTTGTTACAATACCTGAACATTTTCATATAGAAGTAGGTATCATTTTATTATAAATTATCTTCCTCTTCTCTTTATAGTGATGGTATTATGTTAATATTTTTGTAAATTATTTGTGTAAATATATTTGAGTTTAATTTCAGGGCAATAAAGGGGATCTTACCTTCTGGGCCTTATAGGTTTAGCTTGCTGCTCTAACATTTTAAGCTTGATAGACCCAAAGTAGTCCAGGTGCCGGTTACATTCACCATAGTCCTGAACAATGGACAAATTCCTTCCATAGATATATTGCAGGAAGGTAGGATGATGTGCCAGTTTCTGAGAAAATTCTTTTGTCTGTCTGGAATTAGTCTAGTACTGTACTGTCAGAGGCAGAGACTGTCAGCTGTTTAATAAAACATTTTTATTCTTTGTCACCAGCTAGACTGTATTCTCCAGCATCCTTTACCACCAGATGTGGCCAAATGACTGGGGAAATAGAAAAATTTTATTTGCAGCATGTACTATTTTCAGAGTTCTTTTTGTCTTTGTGTAACTCTTTACTTCTGGGGATCAGAATTTCAAAGGTACAATGTGCATTGACATTTTCACCCTCCTTTCTTCCCAATTATTTCCTGTGAGTTACTTTCATGGAAAGGATTAGAAAGATTGTAGAGTACAAGGGTATGTTACAAAAACAGCACTCCGATTACCCAAGAAAGGGGTATAATAAAGAAGTGGTGGCATCCTCTTTTATTTTATTGTTTTGTCTTTAGGTGTTACTTTTACTGGGTCAAATGCAGAGAGTGGCATTGGAAGTTAATGGTGTAGAACAATTTTAAATGAAGATCAACTGTATTTCTTTAACATACCAGATAATAGCCTGTGCAGTCATCTCAGGCTTATGTTGATCCATAGAGAAATGTTAATGGACAGAAGAATGTAAGTCCTGTATTTTATATAAAGGCTATAACGTATGAAGCATTTAGAGGGGATGAAAAGCCATATTGCCCTTTGATGGAGCAAGTTTCAATGGACTTCAGGTTTCCACAATGATGACCCACTGTCAATGAGATCACTTGGCTGGAGTGCGAATATGAGCAAGTATTTTGGGAACTTCTCTTTGCCATTCTCATTGGGATTTTCTTTCCTTCTGGCTATTCTCGACTGCTCAGGACACTTGGAGTATTTGCATACCTTCCGAATGCAGGCAACTTTTCAGGATATCTGTGAAATCGTATTGAGAGGGTAAAAAAGTCAACTGCCTGCTGTCAATTTCTTAGGGGCAACCTTCCTTCTAGGAGGCTCAGAGTTTAGAGTTACACAATCTATTCTTAGGAAGTAAAACACCTTACTGTTCTTCAATGTTGTTATCAATCTTCAAGCTCAATTACCATGGTTATGTATTAAGTATTGGAGTTATGACTGATTCTCTGTTCCAGTAGTACTAACTAGTACTATAACTATTTGCCAAGAAGATTTAGGGCAATACTATAATGACAGCTGAGGGACTGTTAGCTAGACCTTCATAAAACTTATTTTCAGAGGAGCCACCTATTAGAAAACATCACTGACATGCTGGACACCATCAGATAGCACTCTAAGATAGCACAGGACTAAATCAAATATTTGTTCTTCTGTGAAATTTTTATCTGTCTACTTTGGTAGGTCCAGTCAATCCTTCCTCCAAAAGTAATTTGTTCATACTTTATAGCACTGATATTGAGTTATTATTATTACTAATAGTAATAGCAGCAGTTAGTTGGCAGATCCTATCCCTTATTATCCTATATATCCTCATGGTTCAGTTCAATGCCAAGCATATGGCAATTCCTCTTCAAATATTTGTTGTAATGAATTCCTGCATGCATCTGTGTATTCATAAATCAATGAATGCACCAGCTTGAATGAAGACTGAATATGGTTTCTCCCACATCATGAGTGGAGTAGATCACTAGTCCTATTGAAATGGGAGAATAGTGACCTTCCCATGACAACAATGATTTTAGATTTTATTGGTGAAAGGAATGTAGCCTGATGTTATTTCATAGTATCCAGCTTTCTGAAAGGGATACAAACTAAAGATTAAATTTTAAAGTATCAGGAAAAAAGTGTTAAGGTAAGAAATTATAAAATAGCGTAAAATGCTAAATGAACATAAGAACAAAGATTTGATCTTCTTTTAGATGTAATTATTTAATTTAAAAAGCACAGCAAATTGAAGAATTTTTTTTCTCTTTCTTCCTTGGGGCTGCTGCTTTCTATGGGCAAAAGTCAGCTGTTGCATGGGAACTCCAGACTCTAAAGATCATGAGCGCAGGGTCAGGATGTGTATTTACTTACCCTTACATTGCCAGTTCTCCACACACAAGTAAGAATATATTAGATTCTTAGTAATATTTGTCAAATAAATGGATCAATAAATGAAACATGTTAATTTGACTGTAGTTTTCTTATCAGCAGATTTATAGGCACGGAGCCAGTTTCTACTGAAAGTTAGTTATAATAACTTTCATAGTTTCACGCACAACCTTGGTTTTCCAATCTGATGTTTTCCTTAAAGACTTATTATTTAGAAATGTGAATTCTCTTGGCAAAGGTTTCTACCACAACAAATTGTTTTTGACTCCAGCTGCCTGGTGCTTAAGCTTAAAAGTTATTTCAAGTGGTTCCCTAGCACTTTGTCCACAGCACTACTGTAGCACTTTCCACACATAATTGCATTTATAAAAAGCCCTTGCCAAATTCAGTTTCTCTTTCATGAAATTGTACATCTGTGAATTTACTTTTGTACACTTTTCCACAATCAGGAAAATCTTACTTTGATTACATGCACACCTGTTGGGGATAATTTGAAAAAGAGGGAGTAAGGAGTTGCAAATTCGAAAAGGCAAAAAAGAAGTAAAGCAGGTGGCAGAACAGGAGAATGATTTTTAAAATGCAGCTTTGGGAGAAATTAAGGTGGCTGAAGCAAAGTTGGAATTGCATCCCATTGGCTGGAAGAAGGAGAGGTGCATGTGTTCTAGCCCCATATTTTCTTAAGCAGAGCGAAAGTTCTATGAGTGGGTAGAAGGAAGGCCTAAGAGGTAATTTTTTGATATGCTTAGTAACTGAAATAAAAGTTGCCTAAGGCTTTTTCCAACCAAGTTACTGTACTTCTTTGGGGTCACTGTGTGACCC